GCTTTTTTCCTTTTTTTTTTTATTTAACATACAATTTCGGGTTTCCATCCATCCAATCATGTGTTTATATATTTTGCTGCATTTAACACTCTGCACTGCTCTTAAAAAAAAAAAAAAAAAGCGACATGAAACAAAAATGATATAAAACCGTTGAACGTAGTATTAATTACATATTGTAACTTGAACACTTATTTTGTAACCTTTTCATTCTGTGCGTTGACAAAATGTAAAAGTGCCAGGAACTACTACAAATATGGAAGAAACAAAAAAAGTTTATAAGCACCGCATTATATGTAGTTATAATAGAAGTAAAATTCCATACACGTATTATGTTGTTTATATTTTTATTTAATAATCAATGTAATTACCATCATTTCCGCCGTGTTTTTTTTTTTTTTTTTTTCTGAGCCTTTTTCCCATCCCATGAAGGGTTAAAAAAAGAAGGGGCATTTTTTTTTTATGGAAAATATGTTTATATATTTTTTGCTCACACCCTTTGGGGCATACCAAAATGGAAAATGTAAATTTTTTGTACACGTGAAGATGTAAACATTATTTTTTGTAATGTAGGGTTTATTAAAAAAAAAAAAAGTAAAATATTTTTACGTCTGCATTAAAAATGGTAGAAAGTTCATTCCTGTTCATCGTTGTGTTGCACTTGTGTGTTGTGCAAAAGGGGGGGGGGATTTTTCCCCATTTGGGTTGACATATTGTAATATATAAAATGTTTATTTTTTTTGTCTTTTTAATGTTTTACTTGCAATGAGATTGCAAAAAAAAAAAAAAAAAGGGCAAAGGGAAAGGAGACAGAGCAGTAGCCTATTCGCAGGATACATTCCCCAGCGTGTTAAGGTTGTGCTAGCACGGGATGAGGGGAAAAATTAAATAGGAAAATAAAGGAAGCTATTTGAGGAACTCGTTTTTGTGAGGGATATAAAATAACTTTTCCCCTACCCAGGCTGCTTTTATGCGTTAAGTGATTTATTAGGGGGTTAAGTAGTTCAACGTGCGTTGTTGTCTATCTCTCACACGCCCCTTATCCTAACACATATATATAAGCGCATACGTGTAGAGAGGGGCTGGTTTCTGCATGGGTGTAGCGGTGTACACTCTGCGCGGTGCTCTGTTCCAGGATGGTATAATATTTTGCTAAGGTGTATGCATATATAAAAGTGTACTGACTGAACGGTTCAGTGTTCTTTTTGTTTCGCATGATATACGGGGTGAAACAGCCTGTCCATAAGTATATTCAAAAAAAGAACAAGAGGGGGAAGAGGTGTTGGTTTCCCTTTTGTGGAGTAGCCTTTTTAAGAAGTTTTTCTCTCTGTACAAGTAGGCGGTGCACCATTGTTGGGTATAACGCTATAAATGGGACAAGCTCTCGCGTTCATATTTGGAAATATTCTTATCAGGACAAATTTGCACCAATTTTTAGCTGCACCTTTTTTAAGCGGCGGTTTAGCTAAAACCACTATGTGGCCCTGGCGTCCCCCTTTGTAGAGACACACAACTTGTAGAAAATGTGTTTAGGAGGCATATTAGAAGAAGCTTTTTTTCTTTTTTTTTATTTTATTAAAATATCTTCTCGTATAAATTTTCTATGCTCTATTTTTTCATTATCGCGTTTATTATTTTGTTTGCATGTATAGGAAAAACAAAACAAGGCGGTAAAATGTGCTGCCCCATAGGAATATATATAAATTCTCCATTGGGGG